CCCACGAAAATATGGTCTATTGACTTTTCACACAGCTTTAAAAGTCATTCAGTGGAGAAAGGGCAGGTTGGTACATGGCGCCGAAACGACCGGGCGTCGCCTGCAAAACCACGCCTCGACCCTACGCCACACTTATACCTGAGTTAGCTGAAAAATGGATCACGGACCTCAATGTAGAATATAAAAATTTAAAAGAAAACCTAAAAGAAAAAGTCTCTGCAACCTTAGGTTAGGTAACGAGTTCCTAGACGTGGCACTGATGTCGAGCTCCATGAAAAACAGATTGAAAATTAGACTTCATCACAGTTAAAGGTTTTCACTCTCTGCAACAACGTGTCAAGAGAATGAAAAGACAAGCCTCAGACTAGGAGAAAACATTTACAAATCACCACATGTGAAGAGCACAGGCGTCCAAAGGGTGCAAAGAACAACCTCTAGCGAACAGTGAGAAACAAACAACCTGATGCTTCTGAACGGGCGAAAGGCTGGAAGGGCCGTTCCCAAAGACGATGTCGGGACGGCAAACAGACGCGTGGAAAGGCGCCCAGCACCGTCAGTCACGGGGAAACGCAGGTTAAAACCACAAGGAGGGTCCAGGACGCACCTATTAACATGACTCTGAAAAAAATAGTGCCACGAGCAAAACCGAGGACGCCAGGCGGCTGGACTCTCACCCGCTGCTGGTGGGAAGGCGCCACGGTGCAGCCACTTGGAAAACAGCCTGTTAGTTTCTCATGACGCTAATAACATACTTGCTACACGGCACAGTCGTCACACGCAGGAATTTACCCAGATGAAACAAAGACCTGCGTTCACACAAAACCTCGTATGTGAACGTCGGCCACTGTTCTACCCGTAAACATGGAAGCCTGGAAACCAGCAGCTGAACAGCCACGCGGCGGCGTGTCCACACTGTGGACACCCTCAGCAGTGACGGGGAAGCAGGGGCACGGCGGCACGGCGCGTCTCGGCTGCCAGGCTCCACCCACACGGCGTCCTGAGAAGGGGGCCGGGAGGGGCAGCGCGGGGTCGGAGGACACAGCGCCGGGCGTGGTCTGACCGCACCGTGCAGCACAGGGAAGCAGCTGGGGGTGGAACTGCTCTTCATCGTGGGCGTGGCGGTCACGGCCCACTGAATGCCGGAAAGAACTTCAGTGTGCACAGACTTTAAGCGCGCGTCAGAGCACGCACCCTGCAGGTGCCATACACGTGAGCTGCAGCTGGGGTTAAGCAGTGACAGCCCCCGGCCTGAGACAGGCGTCCGTGGCGCCCGTGAGCGTGTGACCGCGCCCGCACGGGACACCACGGCCCTGCGGCCCACCTGAACCTAGAAAGGAAATCCAGCAGCTCTGCCGCGTGCAGGGAGCCGCCGCCTGCTCTCAGCGCACGCCCGATGCATTTCCGCAACCTTCTCGACCCCGGCCCCGCTTTCCTCCCCGACCTCCCACTGCTCCCATCCCCGCCACCCCGCACCTGCGCCAAGTTCCGCAGCCTTGGGCGGCGCGCCCCCCCCACCTTGGCTGCCCCGGCACAGGTTGGCCGAGGGCTCAGAGCCCAAGAGCCTGATGCATTCAGAACAGAAACGCCGGCCAGCCGCGCAGCGCACCTGCGTACGCCCCAACAGCTCCAGTTCTCAGTCTCTTCATCTGAAAATAACGCCGGCCACAGGCACGATGTCTGCACCAGCTCTAAGGCTTTACGAATTCACAGTGCCCCGCTGTGACCTCTCTCCCGTTACCCTGCAGAGAGTGAGGACTGGGGACGGAAGCTGGGACCTGTTGTTACTGTTGCTTGATTTGTTATTTTGCTCTGTTTGGGAATATCTTTAAACTTCAAAAAGAGTCTGTAACTCCAGAGTTGAGAACCCCCCTCCCAGAGATGCCAAGGAGAGCCCTCACCACGTCGCCTGCCCGAGGCAGTCAAAACAAACTTCCAGAAACTTCTGTGGCTCACGGGACATGGAGCAAGACTCCGGGAGCTGCTTGAACTCCTTCTCCAAAACAGAGTAGGAGGTGCCCGCTGCTCCGGCCTAGCGGGGGAGCCGGGACAGACACTGGGAGGGCTGCACTGCGCGGAGCAGACGTCCCCTCCAAGGCCCCCACCCCAGGGAGCTCCACATGTCCGCGCACCACAGGGCAGCAGGTGAGCGAGGCCCGCGCTGCCCTCCCTGCCTCCAGGCTCCAGACAACTGGCCCGACGGCCAGGGCCTGGGCTCAGCCTCAAGCAGGACAGCCCAGCGGGGTGTCCAGCACAGGCCTGGTGTGCAGACACGGCCCGGGAGCCCGCTGGGAGGGCAGGACAGCCTTCCGGGTGCTGCGACTCCCCATAAAACGGGCCCAGGGGGAGAGAAGCCCCCACCTCCAGGCAGGCGGGACAGGAGGGGCAGAGGGACCCTCGGGGCGGGTCCACGGTGCGGACGCCTTGCACACTTCATGGAGATCTGGGCAGGCCCCTGTGTTTTACAGCCCAGTGCAAAAGTCCAAGGATTTTAGGGTTCTCAGTTCCGAACGGGTAAAAGGAAAAGAGCAACGCAGTCATCTTTGGCCAAGGGCCGCACACATTTCCAGCTCTTACTTTACTAGCAGTGAGAAGTATTAATAGAACAACTTTAAAGGAAAAATAATCACACTTGAGAATTTGCTTTCTCAAACACTGTGATACGTAATGAAGTCTGAAAACATCTCCTCCACTGAGAGCACGTTTCCACAAGGCAGCCCAGCCGCCCCCACAGTGCCCCAGGCTGAGCCCAGACGAACCCCAACCTGCTCCCAGAAGCGCCCATCTGGGACAGGCGACTGCGCTTCCAAGGGGGGGTCTCCAAGCACCCCCGACCTTAGAGGCCCCCTGGAAAGTAAGCGGCGCCCAGTGAGCTCCGGAAACGCTGTTTCTCACTATTTCTATTGTTTATGAAGGACGTGATTTACAAGGTCATTGATCCTCACGGGAGCCCACCCTCCGCAAAGGCAAAGACCACGGAGGACCTGTCCCCACGGTCCCCGGTCCCCGTCCTCAGCCCCGCTGGCTGGACACCCACCGGGCTCTGCAGGGAAACTGAGGAAGCGGAAACCGTGAGAAGCACAGGCTCTACCCACGGCGCACGGAGCGGTGAGAAGGTGCAGTGTGAACACGGGGAACGGCGAGGCCTGGAGGGTCGCAGCTGGGGGGTGGTGAGATGAGAAACCGAAATGCAGGGGCCGGGGGGACAAGGGGAGACCGGCAGGCCAGAGCCAACCCCTGCTGAGGCCGGGGAGCGCTGCACCCGGAGAACCAGCGTTCTCTCCTCCTTTGCACGTGTCTAAAACTTTCCGATAAAAAGCTGCAAGTGAGGAAGGCAGGACCACCGTCCTCGCCCCGGCCCCTCCGGCTGCTGCACGGTCAGAGGAGCTTCTCCCCCCTTTTCCTGGTGAGGGGCCACCGCAGGCCGCATCCAGAGGACAGGGACAGCGCCGCCAGGTCAGGCAGTGATGGGACGAGCACAGCCCGCCCCACTGATCAATCAACAGCTGATTTACCAGAGGTCAAGGAAAGCAGTCGGCTGGGAAACCGCCTACACCGTGATCGTGAGCCCATCGGGAGGCGCGTGGAAGGGGGGCGAGGGTCCTGCCGTCCGGTGGGGCCAGAAGGCCACGGCCACCCAGCTCAGAGGTGTCCCTCCAGCCGCGTGAGACCCCTCCAGTGCGAGGCACCACACATGGCCCCCGTGAGGAGGGGACGCACAGTGAGCACTCCAGCCGGTGACAAAGCCCCGAGGGGTGATGAAGCACAGCCAGGCCGGGCAGACGGGAGGGCACGGCCTGGCGCGAGTGGCTGGGGGGCAGCCAAGGGACGGCAGGCGGCCGCAGGAGTGAGCCTGGGGAGGAGCTGGAGCAGGGAGAGGGGCTTCCAGACAGGCTGGAAGGCTGACAAGTGTGGGCTTCCTTGCAGGGGTGAAAGGTCGCTCTGGCTGCTCGGAGCGGCTGAGGGGTTCACGGTCAGCGGGGAGTGGGGTGGGCCCCCGCCAGGCCGACCTTACCCAGCGTGGACGGTGTGGACGCTCAGCTGTCTCTGACCTTTGCGGAGGGTCAGGCTGGCGTCTGGCTTCACCTGAGGGGCTGGGGCCCCCCAGCGAGGGGGGTGGGCCAGAGAGAGCTGGGGGTGAGAACCGGCCTGCAGACGCCTCAGGGGAGACCACGGCAGTGGCCCTGGAGCAGCCTGCTGCCCACTTCGTCCCCTCAGGCCCCAAACCGTCTTGTCTGCGGCAGGCCGGCCAGCGCCCTCCTCCCTGCCCAGCGGTCCCAGTTCCAGCAGGAGCCCACCCTGCTGCCCGGGGAGCTCCAGCAGCTCCGTGCATCACAGGGACACGCACCCCTCTCCCCTGGAACCCCGGTCAGCCCCGCCCTGGGACGGGACAGACTGGGGCCTGTGTCTCTCCGGCCACTGGTCTTCAAACGCAGAAAGCGCCACTGCACCCTCCTATTTTGTTTAGGAAACGACTAGCTCATCTCGCCAGGCAGACCCACCGTGACAGTTCCGGGAAGGCCCCGCCCCTCAGAACCACGGTGGAAAGCCTGGACCAGTGCGCACCCTGCCCAGGCCCACGACTCACGGCACTTTTACGGCGTAGCTGGCCCATCCCCGAGGCTGAAATCACACCAGAGAAGCTCATGCTGCCTTTTCTAAGTCCTTAACTTGGGGAAAAAAGGCTTAATTGTTTTTAGGTTCCCTCTCATGGACAGGAAAAAACAGAGACTGCAGAAAGAATGATTTTCAGACTGTGGCACACAGGGCCACCGGGGCGTGGGCTGCTCTCTGTCCCAAACCGCGGGAGCCCAGACTGCGGCTGACCCCATGCCAGGGACTCCGTCCGCGAGCACGTTTTGGAGCCTTGTGGCTTCTTGCTGACTGCGAACCACCACAATCTCAGGGCCTCTCAAGGACTGAGCAAGCCCGACGCTGCGCGTGACTGAGCTTGAACACACGTGACGCTGCGTGTGGTCAGGGTGCCGGGGGTGGGCACTCACCTCCAGCAGCAGCCGTCCCTCCAGCACGGCGGACCCTCCGCGAGGACGACCTCCCAGTGAGGGGGCACCGGCCGCCGAGCACTTCTCCTGCACGACTGCGGACGAGAAGAGACCCGTTAGTCCCTCCCCGGACCCCAGGCCTGGTCACGCTTTTCCTAAGTCCTGTTTTCTTGTGTTTCCCCAACTTTCGCCCGGTTCTGGTAGCGCGCCAGGAGGGGTCCGAAGACACCAGAGGCGTTCACTCTCAGTTTCAATCCCTTTTCTAGTCCACTGTTCACTCAACACTCACGTTCAGAAAGTAAAGCTCTGAGCAGCCACAGACACACTAGGAGGTGCAGCGCCCGGCCGGCCTTCCAACCCCTGATGCCCAGAGGTGGTCGCCAACCCACCCGCCGGGCTGTGTTAGTGCTCAGAGATCGCGGAGCTGGCGGGAACCCCGAGGTGACAGTCAGACCTCGGTGGCCTCCCACCCCCCAGGTCCTGCAAGGAAGCCACTGCTGCCAGGGGGCAGGGGTGGGGGCTGCCTGCAGCGGCCCCAGGGCAGATCTGGGCTCAGTGTAGGCTGAGCGGGTGGAATGGGGGGACCAAACTGGGGGCTGGGGGACTGCAGGCAGAGTCTGGTCACCTGTCCCCAGACCCAGACCAGCAAGGACCAAGCAGGCGGAGGTTTGGGAACAGAGATCTGCTCAGGTCTGTGCTGGCCCCATGTGTGACCTGGGGACTCGCCCCTCCCTCCAACCCTCACCCTGACCACCCCCCCTCCCCTCCTCCAACCCTCACCC